CGCCTAAATGCCTAGACAAAGGGAAGTCGGTGTGGACATCTATCACACAAAGACACTCCTTTTTGAAGCATATAGTTGGGTCTTTTCCCCTTCCCAAATGTTCTATCAGCTCCAGAATGACCTGGCAAACTGGTCATGCAAAGTTAGACTCATTTAAAATGGTTTTCATGTTACAATCATTTACATAAGTATAATTTGAAGCAGTTAAGTGTAACATGCATCAAGACTATCAGACCCCAGTCAGAACTCAGTTTGTCCTTGGACCCCCAGGGTGCAATCAATAAGCATCTGCCATGATGGAAGAGAAAATGAAGACAGCAGAGAAAACCAGGCCCCAAGGCCACCAGCGAGATGATTCTGAGTCACAGTGACCCCACAGGACAGAGCCCCCTGTGCAGGGTTTCCAAGGCTGTATGGACGTCTTTACGAGGCCAATGGCTCACTTTTCTCCGGATGGTGACTGGTGGGTCCACACCACGGAGCTTTCAGTCAGCAGGTGGGGAGCATGGGGAGAGGTCGGCCGGGACCTAATCACAGTGTGGAGCACTGACTGGTGGTAAACACTGGACATTAAGAGAATGAATCAGGCGAGCCCCTGCTAAGATGTCACCTTCTTGGGTGATTGCCACTGCAAAGGGTGCATGTGTATCCCTTTCTAGACCACTGTCTGCTTGCCTGACAGGCCGCGGCCTCATGAGGACAAGGACAGAGTTCATTCCTACCCACCACACTGTCCTTTCATTGTAGACAATGAAAAAATGGATGCAACAATTAATTCACCAACAGGGCCTGCCAGAAATTCAAGCAGGGTCCAGGAGAGGGCATGGAATGAACGATATGACTGCTAACATCAGATGCATCTTGGCTGTAAGTTGTTTCCCTATATTTACTATTATGACTTATTCTGGTATATTATTTATACCAGAAAGATGTTTCTCTATCTCATATTGACTATGCAAAAGAATTTCATTTTGTGAGCTATGGAATGTTGTGAAAAACGGGAATTCCCAACATTTGTCGTATCCATGTGGTACACAGAACAAGAGGCAGTCATCTGAATAAGACAAGGGGCTATAATAAGGAAAACTGTGCATCACAATGATGTCCTTTCACTGTCCTTTTCCTGCATTCTAAGCCAATCACCTTACTCCCTGGATAACTGAAGAGTGTGGTTCCAGAGTTGGAGGAAGACTCCTGACTGGTGACACACAGAAGGAACAACCTCGCTGACATCAAAGAGTTGCCGCGTTTACTGATAAACTTAATTCCTCTGCCTGCAGTGGAGATTACACTTCTTCATTAAGAAAACATGAACTCCACGATTAGACCAATAAGCAACATCACAATAAACACAGAAAACACCAATGTTTCCAAGGATTTCATCTAACTTGGATTCACAGGATGCCCAAGGCAGCAGCAGTCCAGACCAAATTATATGCTGCAACCAGCGAGTGTGCTGCAAACAAGGTCTAAGCAGTACAGAAGCCACTTTGGCGGCGAGGGTGTGCCAGATACAGGCCATGGGAGAAATTCACCTCCTACCCACATGAAGGCCAGACAGTGCAGAGGGGAAATGAAGCTGTGATGCTGATGGTGGCAAAGGATAGGAAACAAATCAGTAAACAGCCAGAAGAAGAAACAGAAGGCAAGATTCTGTCCAATGTACTCTGGACACGGTATCAGGGAGGACGAGCTCCTGGACAGGGACAGCAGGCTTGGTAAGCAGAGGGTCAGCAGAAAAGAGGAAGACACTCAATGACATCGATGCAAAGGGTGAGCAAAACAAAGGCACACTGTAGGGACCAAAACAAAGGAAAATCCACTGAGCCAAACGTTGCCTGCCTCTCGCAGTCAGTGCCACGGGGAGTAAAACCATTTCCCACAGGTGTAAGTGTCAGCCAGTCTAGTCACATGAAGCCCTGTCCGTAAACTCCGGCATGAAGAACAACAGATGGCAGCAGGCTGTTAGTTCCTAAGATATATCCCCGTGGCAGAGGTGTCTCCAGTCACTGAACTAAAGTGGCATGCATGTGGGCAATGAGGAAAGATGCTGCAGAGAAACACAGGCTAGCACTGCTCCCACTGCCCTCATTGAGAGGGTGCCACCCCACCCTCGCCAAGGGACCTGCAGAGTCTCCCTGATGTTGGGTTTGGCCACCTGATTGCATAGGCAAATCCATGTCCCATTTCACAAGCACGCCAGGATTTCTGTATGGCTGAACCACTGCCCTTCTCCCTCTTCCCAAGAACACGACTCGGTTACAGTCAGACCGTAGAACAGCACGTCTCTCCTACAGGCGACCCTGTACTCAAAGTGGCGTGTACAGTATTTTCACTTATAAAACGCATCCACATACATAACATGCACAAAGTTAATACACAAGGAGGTTTCTATGTCTTACGAAAATGCATGATACAGTTGTTAACTGCATAACAATATACAGGAATATATCCATAATAGAGCTGCAAGTGACCCACAGCTAACATGTAAGATGAGTGGGAACTGAGACTCTCACTCTTTAAGTTCCTGAGATTCTGGGTGTTACTACAACATAATCCAATGAAAGCTATCAAATGCATCAAGTTTACCAACTTTTCTTTGACACTCCCCACTCTACCAAGCAGAATAAGAAGCCCTGGTGATCCAACAATGAAGTACTAGTAGGCTGCTACGTGGAAGGTTGTCCATTTGAAGGCACCCACCGCTCTGCTGTGGGGAAACTTGGGGCTCTGCTCCAAAAAGCCTCACAGGGCGTTTCTACTTTATACATGGGAGCCTGGCGGTGGAGAGTGTAAGTGGTTGGCTGCTAACTGTAGTTCAAGAGCTGAGGCCAGCAGCCATTCTTAAAGGAGAAAGAAAAGGTGGTCTGCTCCTGTCACGATGTACAACTGTGGAAAGCCCTAGGGCTGTCCTCTTCTGCCTACAAAGGTGGCTGGAATCAACTCAAAGGGTTTGACATATGCTATCGCTATGAGCTGGAAAAGAAATCAACATCCTATAACTATCAATTACAATAAGAAGAAAAATCACACTTAAGAGTGATATAAAAATGCACAAAATAGACTGCTCTCTTTTCCCACTATTTTCTCAGCTAGAAAAGTTATCAGAACTATCTTGACACTTAACTAGTACAGTTCTGCTTTTCTAACCAGAAGCTTTTAATGTTCCGAACACCACAGACAGAGCAAAAAAATCAACCCAATTCCTAATTTAATGAACATCTCATCACCATTTTTAAAATTATAGTGATATACTAAAACTGAACTTTAAAAACACTTGGCAACAATTTAAAATTCTTTGCATGGAGGAAACGATGTTCACAGGGATTTATCAGAGAAGTGGCTATTAATAAGAACTGTACAGAAAACACAACTGTAAATCTCAGTAGTAATATGCTAAGTACATCAACAGAAAGGGAATCATTTAATTCTTTAAAAATAGAAATGTGAAATTTGCTATCGTAAAAGTCTATGAGTAACCCATAGAGATTCTTGAGTTCCACCAGTGAGAAGGTGTTTCAAATGCCTCGCTGTGGTTAGGGACCCCAGGGGTGCAATGGTTAAGTGTCTGCTGGCTGCACAAAAGGGTGGCATCTAAACCCAGCAGGAGCTTGAAGGGAAGGAGACTCAATGGCACCTGACAACAGCAAAATATATGGAAAATCCAACAGCTGCTCAGGTGTGGGTAGACTGAGAGATGAAGGCAAGCCTTTCTCTTTCTTCTGTTTACCATCTCCCACAGAGCTCCAGGCTGCCGCCAGAGCCGGGCAAAGCCACTTCACTAGCTCCTTCAGACACAGTACTGATCTCAGAAGGAGCCTTGAGGTGCAGTGCTTAAATGCACAGCTGTCAGTCAAAAGGTCAATGGTTCATATCCACCAAGTGTTCTGTGGGAGAATGATGAGGGAGGCTATTTCCATAAGGGCTGCTGTGTTGTGCTGTTGAGTCAGAACCAACCCACAGCTGAACCTCCAGCAGGTTTTCAGAGGCTGTAAATCAAATGGTAGGAAACTGCTCATCCTTCTTCCATGGAGCAACTGGTGGATTCAAACAGTGTGCCTCTGGGATTGCAGGGCAGCTCCTTACCACTAGGCCATAGATTATAGCCAAGAAAATCTTATGGAGCAGTTCTGCACGTCACAAGGAGTCATTAAGAACTGGAATCAAATGTGCAGATCCATAACAAGTCATAGTTAAGACCACACTTCCACAAGCTGCCAGGAAGGGAAAACGACATCCAAGCTCTGGCTGGGCCATACACTTGGTTCCACATTTTCTTAATCTCCTGGAGTCTTATTTTAATCATATATAAAATGTGAGCAATTACTAGTTCAGGAGTCTGTGTGGAGACACGTGATACATAAAGGCTGGTGATATCCAAGGAATATACAAGACGACATCAGGGGTCAGTTACCATGCTACACATGACCATATCACACAGTCTTCAACTGGGCGTCTGAAACAAAAGCTGTGCCTTGTTCAGCATCTCACTCTGTCACAAACACCTGAATTCTGGTTGTCACCACGAAGTGATGTGTCCAGACCACCGCAGACAGACTTGGTTGGAGAAACTCAGATTCTTGAAAAAGCCAGACTAATGGGACTTCCTGAACCCAGAGGACTCTGAGGGAAGGTCACCACGAACTCTTTAAGCCTTGAACCAAAACAATGATGACCTCACCATTAGCAGAAAATCAGAGGGACATTACCATGAGATCAGTGCTCTACTAAGAGAAACATGTGCATGAGTCAAAAGTCAGCATAAGAGAAGGGGGAAGAGACAGTTCCTCTGACAGAGGAGTGGAGCTGGAATAAGCAGAACACAATAAAAAACATAAATTATGTCACTGACCAGTTCAGGTATAAATTGTCCAATGGGAACGTACTTGCTGTGTCAATTTTCACCAAAACTACATTAAATATCACGTGAAAAACACAAAACAAAAGCTGAGTATCGCACCTTTCAAAGGCTTAAACATGAACTGCTATAAAAAACTTACCAGGTCACAGAACTCAAATACCAGAAGATAGGGAATTGCTTCTACACACTGTCCAACACACTGAAGAATATTTGGGTGCTGAAGAACACTGGAGAAAGAAAAGCCGGTACAGTTCATCAGGAAGCAAGCTAGTAGAACGGTTTCCACAGTGGCCCAAATGTTAATATTCATAATGCTAGAAAAGTCACATTAAAAAGACACTCAACTGATGTGCACATTGTTCAACTATCCCACACATGCAAAAAGGTACTGAGTCCATCTCTACACTTAGCAAGTTAGCTCTCTGGTGATCCAACCCTTGCCATCACTTTATTACCCTCCTGCCGCCTGCAGGGATGGCAGGGCATGTCTTTCTCTCCCTCATTCTTTGTCAATCTTGCTGGAGATTTGTCAGCTTTATGGATCTTCTCAAAGAGCCAGGTTTTTGTGTCCTTTGTTTTACCTACTGGTTCTGTTCTCAATCAAGTTCATTGACTTCTGCTGTCTAGTACTGACCCTTTTCCACTTGCTTTGCTCATCTTCTCCTAAGTTCTTTATGAATTTAGACGACTGATTTGAGATTTTCCCTCTTTTTTAAGTTACAAATCCCGCATTCCACAATTTTATTATGCTATGTTTTTGTTGCATTCATTTGAAAGCACTGATTTAACTTCCCTTGAGAACTCCTCCTTGGAACATAGACTCCTGAGCAGTGTGTTATTCAGTTCCCAAATGTTTGGAGATTTTTTTCATTTCCTGTCTGCTGTTAATTTTTAGATTGACTGTCCCAGAATGAAGGCAAAATACCACATGTGGCCTTCAATTTTATGGCACAGAATATGGTCTGTTTTGGTGTATGACACATGGAATGCTTGAAAAGAATGTATATTCTACAGCTGTTGGGCTGAGTGTTCTATAAATGTCAATTAGGTCTTGTGAATTAGCACAGTTTACTTCTCATTCCTGGTGACTGTTCATCAACTCTTGAGAAACAAGCACATAAGTCCCAAACTATAAAGGGGTTTCTTTCTTGTAAGTTCTATCCAACTCAGGCTCACATGGTTGAAAGCTTGGTTATTTCTTGAATCTTGTATTTACAGTCAGGATATTGTCAGCTCTGTCTTAATCGGTGTATATAAGCCATTTACATTTGACTAATTATTGATATGCTGAGGGCTTAAGGCTGCCATTTCATTTTTTATTGCTGGATGCCCCCCTGCTATCTTGGATCCTGCCTTCCTGTGTGTTCCAAGAACATTTTTGGAATGTCATTTCATTTACCTACAATGTTCTTGAGAGGATCACTATGGATACATTTCTTAGTGGTTGCTCCAGGCATTACATAATCTATACATGGTTTTTCACAGTCTGCTGTGGTCAACATTTTACCAATTCAGGTGGAATCCAGAAATTTTACCCTTCTTTCAGTTTCTTTACCCTCTCTCATTCGTGACATCCCCCCTGTATTTCCTCTGCATCCTTTGAAATCTACATTAAGGTGTGTGCTTAAGTTACCAAAGGTGATTTGGAAAATAGCAAAAGGAAAGTCTATTACATTTATCCAGTTTCACATTGTTCTTTTCATCTTAATTTTCCCAGATTCCTTCTTTTATGATTTCCTCTTTGCTTAGAGAACGTTCCTTAGTGACTTTTTCTTTTTTTTTATTAAATTTTATTAGTTTTAATGAACATTTACAGAGATTTTGGGTTTTCATTCATTCATTGTTGCACTGTTTTCTCCACCCTCATCCCCAGCTCGTTCTTCTTTCCCCCCCCAATGTCTGTTTTAATTGTCCAGTTGCCACAGTGCTTGTCAAAGCCAGTTCTGATTAATCTCCTTTGTCAGTGTGTCCCTTGCCATTCCCTATCACTCCTCCCTGAGAGAGACTTCACCCTGATTCATAAGGAAAAGGGGATGGCGTATTCTCTTAGCTACTTCCTGCTGAAAAGGGACGCTGTGGGTTTCAGGGTGAATGTCTTCTCTCACTACTCCAAAGGGCCCCCTTGGCAGTAGGAAACACATACACTATTATGGAGATTGATTTTGGAATTTAGATTCACTGTTATCAATTGTGCTTAGCCGTACATGTTCATATCCTTGAAGATGTATCATGGAAGTGTTGCAGCCTAGAAGATACAAATTTAACTAACAAGTTAAAAGTGCATGAGTCAAAAATTGAAAAGCAATAATATTCTGAGTAGAGGTTCTAATAGTGGCACAAATCAAGTTACAGAGGTAAGGTGGTTCCATAGGCCTGCTGGTAACAAGTCATCTTAGTTTATCTTCCTCTGAAAATGTCTTCACTGTCTCTTCATTCCTGAAAGATATTTTCAATGGATACAGTATTCTGGATTCACAGTTCTTTATTTCCAGCACTTGAAAAAAAACACGTCCTCTGGTCTCTGAGGTTTCTGACAAGAATTTTCCCGTCATTTAAACTTTTTCCTCTATGGGTAAGAAGTCATTTCTTTCCTACTGTTTTCAAATCTAGTGTGTGTCTTGATATGGATTGTTGCTGTGTGCCATTAAGCTGGCACTGACTCATAGCTGACCCTCCAGCAGATTTTCAGAAGTAATCAATCACATGGGAGGAGAATGGCCATCCTTTTCCCTCGAAGCAGCTGGTGGATTTGAACCATGTGCTTCTGGGATTGTAGTCCAGTCTGTTACCATTAGGCCACCAGAGCTCAATGACATGGATTGTTGCATTAGTAAAGTTGTCTGTCAGGGACCTCTCCAGAGTACTGAAGAGCAACCGATGTCAGTCTGGATACTAAGGGGAAACTGATCCTCGCCGTAGTCTTCGCAATTGGCTTGCTATGCATCAGAAAGCTGGATAATGACTAGAGGTGATAGAGAATTGATGCCTCTGAGTTTTGGTGCTGGAGAAGAGTGCTGAATATACCATGGACTGCCAGGACAACAAAGAGATTCATCCTAGAGAGGGTGGAAGACAGGATGCTCCTTGAAGGCAAGGATTCTGAGGCTTCATCTAACACATTTTGGGCATGTTGCAAGGAGGGACCAGTCCTTAGAGAGGGATATCATGCTTGGAAGCATGGAGGGACGGAGAAAGAGAGGAAGACCACTGATGAGATGGACTGATTCTGCGACTAGGGTAATAAGGGTAGGTGTGTCAGAGATAGTAAAGTTGGCACAGGACAGAGCAGGTTTCAGGGCTACTGTACAAAGATTCACTATGAGTCACAAGCGACTACCATCACCACCATCAAGTCAGAACTGACCCATGGGAGACCCTCCAGCAGGTTTCCAGAGACAGTAAATCGCCCATCCTTCTCCTGCAGAGCAGCTGGTGGATTTGAACCATCTGTCTTTGGGTTTGCAGTACAGCTTCTTACCACTAGCCCACCAGGGCCAGATTAGCTGGACTGGTTTATCTTGTTTGATCATCACTCAAGTTCTTGAAACAGAAATAGAGCTTTTTCAAATTTGAAACATTTCCAGTAATTCTTTCTTTAAATGCTTTTTTAATCTCCTTTAATCATCTTTTATCTCCTCTCCTTCAGAGACTCTGAACCTACAGACGGCACATCCTGTGTTGGTGTCCCACGGCCTCAAGGGTAGAGACAGACACATGACAAACTCTTTCAGGTAGATTTTTTTCCTCTGTTGTTCAATCTTCTAATGTTTTTTTCTTCAAGCTCACAATTTTTTCATCTGTCCTCTACATTCTACTACTGAGCATATCCACTGAGTTTTTATTTTGTTTCCTGTATTCTTCACCTCCAAAATCCTTCTGTCATCTACTTACTTTTCCCCCTAGTTGACTGTGTATGTGTGACCGTTGACCCCAGGGTCGTCACTGTGGCTGCTCGGAAGTCCTCGCAGGTAACGCGAGCACCTGCCAGCTTGAGGTCGGCACCAGCTGCTTGTCTCTCTCACTCAAATGCTTCTGGTTCTTGGAATGATTTTTTTCACCGAGCCTGGGCCTTTGGGTATAATGTTATGAGATTCTGGTGTCAAGTACGTGCTTTACAAGTGAACACCCTCATGTGGTTTTAAATGTTTGAGTGCCAACAGACCACAGATGTATTTTCAGAACATGTATCAGGGTTGACTTACTAGTAAGGTTCTCCATTCTTCAAAAAAGTGTCTTGCTCCTTCGGGCTGGCGCTGGCCTTTAACTCCTTCACTATCACTCGAGCCACGCTCGTGCCGGTGTAAATTTCTCCAAGGAGCACCTAAAAGAGCAAAACACACGTGTTCAAGTTGCTCTGTCCATAGCAAGATAGATTCCTCTCTTCAAGAAATTAAAGACAGGAAGATAAAATCAAAGCAAATATACAGCCTTCTCTGATTTTACACCCTTCCTCACAAAAAGATTGGGGAAACGCAAATACTTTCCTTTAGAAAAGGAGTAATTTTCAATAAGTCTTTAGCTATTTATAGCACTCATATATGTTATAAACATTTCTGTTCAATTTAAAAATGTATGATACATTCATGAAAAGGGAAAATGTCATTACAGAAGAATATCCGATCAGACATAATCCCAGTGCTCCTCAAACTAGCTGAGTTTTGTAATTTGTTCTCATTACAAAAACCTGGCAAACAGCCATTGTATGGTATCATTACAGTGTAACTCTGAAGCATCACAGCATTCCTAAGGTACCAGGCCTTCATCTTGAACCAAAACTGGAGTCAAAATACAAAAAGTATTCTTGAATTCACAGCAAGAGTAAGGATGAGCTGTTGAGCATGAGCTGTCTCTTTCATGTAAGAACAAGGTACTATTAAGTGAGATATAAAGAGTGCAAGGCATTCCAAAATTATCCTTGCGATAAAATGGTCAGTGGTTGTATTTGAAGACTGATCAAAATTTTTTTTAAATCCCATTTTTTGAAAATATTTTAATTTTATTTTTATTTTATTCATTCTAATTAACGTTTACAGAAATTTTGGATTTCCATTCATTCACTGTTGCTAAAATATTTTTTTAAATTTCTTAAAATATTAAGATTGAGAAATGGAGGGGGGGAAAAAAAGACTGAGAAATTCCCTGGAAAAAGAGTAAGAACTTGAAGACAGCTTAATGTGCTCATAAGGAATAGAAGAAAGTTAAAATATGCCGAACACACGAAGAAACGCCAACATAATCAGGTCTCATTCTTCGTTCGCAATGATCAGCTCATGTAGATATAATGAGCGTACCAACCACAAGGCTATCAGTTCACAGACAGGGATGAGTATCAGCACGCTATTCAAAACCTGGGATGTGGTTCCTCTCTCCTCACCGCCCTGGTCTCATGCTGTGTTCAACATTTGAACACCTGGATGTTGAATTCATTCAGCACCCTGACTTTGACCTCTTGGTTACTTTAGCCTCACTTCTGATCATTTTTTCTGCAACTCTAGCTTAGCAACAATACCCAAAGGCTTAAACCTAAATCCTTGTGGGTGGGATGTCACTCCATCACCACCATGCCACAGGTCTTAAAGCTCAAAACCAAACCAACTCCCATCTAACAATTCAGACTCAGTGACCCTTCCAGACAGAGCAGAATAAATGTCCAATAGGCCTTCCTAGGCTGTAGTCTTTACAGAAACAGATCGCCAGCTCTTTTCTCCTGTGGAGTCATTGGTCAGCAGCCAAGCACTTAACCATTGTGCCAACGAGGGATCCTTTACTTTTATCACTACCAAAATCATAGTATGCCCAATATTTTTTTGTATTTTGACTTCTTTTCTATCTATGAGTCCCTTAGGCTCCAGCTCACTTACTTCAACATTCCATGCTGGGTCCAAATCCACGAGCGTCCACTTCTATTCCCAGCTGATGAAGACATAATACTCCTTTCATTATACCATCACTCCTGACCCCAATGCTGCTGACATCCAATTACCCAGCAGACACCAGCACAAGCAGGGAGGACGTTACCACCTACACTCTGTGTGAAATTCCTCATCTTCGTGCCACCCAATGCACCTGGACTATATCCAGAACCCCGATTTTTGCTTCCATGTCAAGAGAAAAACTCTCTCTGCTCCTGAGGTCAACTTCCATGGCTGTGCTGGGGGACCTGATCCTCAGGAGCTTCTGGCCACCTCACTAGGGGTCCTCCTCCCCTTCTACGGTACTCACATGGGCTGGGAGTATTTCAACACAATTACTCTCCTTAGAACTCCTTCTTCCTCCGGTGTTCAGAACACACCTCTGTCCTAGGTCGTTCTTATCACGGGATGATCCTCCTAACAAAGCTTCCTTTCTGGTTCATCTGACTGTGCTAGCCTCTCAGTGCCGCAGAGCCTCAGAGTTCAACCCCTGTACCTCCTCGCTTCTCGCCTTTTGGTGTCTGATCTACCTCTCGTGTAGCTGTAAACACCATACACGCATGATGATCTCCCACATTTCCGTCTCCAATCTGAATCCCTCCCCTGGACTCTAGATGTGCAGGCACAGCTGCTTTCTTGCTAGTCCCATTTAGATGTCGAGTAACCAACCTCCAACCTTACAGATCCCAAAGAAAACTCCCAATTTCCTCCGGAAGGCTGCTCTCCTGGACTCTCTACCCACTCTGCTGACAGCAACCATTTATCCAGATCTTCAGGGCAAAGACAGTCACCCTCAGCTACCCGCTCCTGTGGACTCAGTGCTAACCCATTTTAAAGCTCCAGGTTCTAATCTCAAAATCTCCCCTAGGTCCCACCGTTTCTCACCAGGTCCCTGCTAGCCTGCCCTGCAGCAGTCTCTGTACTAAGTTGAATTAAGAAAGAAAAAACATCCTCACTGCTGCTGGGTCTATTCTGACTCACACCGACCCTCCCGAGAACTCACTACTCACAAGATGCGTATGTGATCTTATTTGGGAATGAGGCATCAGGTTAAGATCAGAGTGGAACTGGGTGGGTCTGAAGGGTGTCTGAGAAGTACAGAGAGAATGGAGACATAGGCAGCGACTGGAGTGATGGGTCTAAACATCCAGGATTGCTGGTGACCCTAGAAACTACAGGAGGCATGGAAGAGTTTCCCTGTCACTGGAAAGGACTTTGGTTGCCTACCGTTCCTTGGGTGTGAGTCTCCTGACCAAAAGGCTGGCGGTATGAATGCACTAGCTGCTCCACAGACGGCCAGTCTCTTCCTATACAGATTCTACATCCTTGGAAACCTGAGGGAGGGGCTGAGGATTTGAGATGGCACTCGGTGGCAGGGGTTTGGGTTTTGGGTCGTTGGGGTGCCAGTGGTCAGTCCTGTGACTCCACATGACAAAGCGTATCATGTTCTAGGCCATAATCTACGCAAACAGACCACTGAGTCCTCTTTCCATGGAGCCATGGACAGGGTTCCAAAGAGCAAGCGTCCAGGTAGCAGCACACGCTTACCTGCGCCTCTCCAGCCACCAGCAGCTTTGTCCTTTGCGGAACTTGCTCAGGAAGCCCTAGGACTAACACGCAGGCAAAGCTCAGCGATGCTGTGGGTTCCGGTCAGAACATCGCAGGTCACATGACACTCTGGTTCCTGCTTCCCCCCCTCCCCCGACAACAAGACAGGGATTTCTTCACTCCCGACTATTAAGTAAGCGACAGCACTATGAAAATGTGTGAAATACTGCAAGAATGACCAAAACGTGGCAGAGATACAGAGTGGGCTCACACTGTAGGAAAACAGCTTCAGAGACGTGTTCGATGCACGGTTCCACAAACCTCCAGTTTGTAAGAAGGGAAGTCTAAACAGCACAGTAAATCCCAGTGCAGTTAAACGAGGTGTACCTGTACTTTTGAACCAACACCTTCCACAACAGCCAAAGCAGCCCTTTAACCGTCAGCCTGAGTCACGGCTTTCTTCCTCCCCTCCCTCAGCCCGAGAGAAATTCGAGTTCATCTCGGCGTGCGGATCCTCTGGCAGTGCTGCGCCCGCCTCCTCCTCAACTACCTGCACCTGATGCCTCCACTGGCCTGGGGCGTAAGTGTGGCGACCCCTATCCCGCTCACGGCCGACCCCCAGAGCTCCACACGGGCCAGACTGTTACCCACCCTCTCCCACGCCGTGCGCCTCGCACCAAGAGCACTGTCTACTTCACAGCAGGCTTTGCTAAATGGCTTAGGACATTAGGCAACTAATGGAGCTTGGACACGAGCAAAGACACAGGCTTGACAGTTAACTCAGGAAGGGGAAGACGCAGAGCATCGGATGGCTGACTACAGAGCAAACAGAACTTCCCGTCCTGAGCACTCTGCGAATGATGCAACGGCTACTCAGTGGGAAACCCTCTGTGGCCAACGACTGCCATGCTGTGGAGAGGCCCGTCAGAGGCGCGACGTCCTCCAAACAATCTGCGGTAAGAAGATGAGCAAAGCGCTGTTCCCACGGAGCTGACGGCTGTGAGAAACACCGTTTGGAACAGCCCTTCCCAGAGGTCTCCATTAGCTGAAGCACTAATGTGGCTTAAGTGTCATAAACGGAAGTGGGGGGAAGGACGGGAGGATAAAGTGGCAGAAAACGAACAAATGACTTAGCTTGTTACTGCCGGTAAGTGCCACTGAGTCCATCTGGGACTCGCAGCGACCCATGACAGCAGACTGCCCTCGGGTCTTCCAGGCTGTGATCTTTATGTGATCACGAGGCCGGTGAGGACCAGGCAGTGACTTATCCTGTTGTACACAGCGTCGCTGGGAGCTGACTGACTCAATGGCACCTGAAAACCACGTTCTTTATAGGAGCAGAGCCCAGGCTTTTCTCTCAGGGAGCCAGTGAACGGGTCTGAACCACCAATCTTTTAGTCGGCAGTGAGTGTAGAAGTGTTGTACCGCACCACGCACCCGTATCTAACCCAACCCTCTACGGTCAAGGCTATTCTGACTCCAAGCAACCCCGTCATATGAAGCAGAACTGCCCCACGGGGCCCTTCCCGAGGCAGAAACCTGCACGGCAGCAGACAGAATCATCTTCCCATGGGCACCTGCTGAGTCAGACCAGCTGACCACTCAATGCTTAGCTCACAGTGCCATCAGACCTCCCACTCCACCACCAACACAAAACCCCAGGCTTCCAAGGCTGTTAAACCTCTGCAAAAGGAGACAGCCTATCTCCCGCCCCTCCCGAGGAGCTGGGGGATTCAGGCCACCGACCTCACAGGTACCACCAGGACTTCCCAACTTATCTTGAGGAAGATGACAACTCCTAAGGCTCCTGGTCCTTTCCCCTCTAACTGCTCTTATGCAGACAGAGCAGTCTCTATACACAGAAAATGACACCCGGGAAGGCTGTCGCTCATGCTGCCATGCAGGGAGCAGAGGCGAAGCCCATGAGAACGACAGGGTCCTGCCAGGCTCTGCCGTGTCACACGACGCAATGCACAACCAGCTTTACATTCTAAACAGTCTGGTGAAAACAGGATAGAAAAACACTACTTACCTTTCCAAACCAGCCACTTCCAATCTCCTGGATATAGTTTAGACTGTGGCGTGCAACTTGAGACTTCAAACCTTCTGTAGGAAAGAGACAGAGAAATGCCAGTCCCACCAGATCAAAGCAGTAAGTCTAAACCCCCAAGATACAGCCCTGAGCCACTCTGAGCCTGGAGCTGAAATCAACCCTGTGGCTCAATGTTCAACCACACACTGGGAGCTCTGAGAGGTGAACACCTCTAGCAGGACGAGAACAAGCAGCCACACAGGGTCATGGGGCAGCGTGCCCACAGCCACAGCTGGGGGTGGTGGGGGAAGCAAAGGGCCCAAAGATGACTGGAAGCGATTGCAACCAATGTCATGAAACAAAGTGCTACAAGTAGTTGGATCTACACTATAAGCTTTCACTCAAATCACAATAAAAAGTTTAAAATAATAAAATACAAAACATATACAATACACTCACCTAAATTTAATGCTAATACCATGTACATAAAGATACACAAATTTTCCTTCAAATAATGTCAAAATAAATTCAAGTTTTAAAACTGACAGTGGTTTCAACAAGCACCCACTCTTGATTTTTTTCACTTTGCAGTGTCCATCTTTAACCTAACTACTCTTCCCACCAAACACCAAACCAACCCACTGTGACCCACAGCAACCCTGCAGGACAGAGAGCCGCCTGATACCATCACCAGGCCTTATTCCTCTGCTCTCTTCAACAGCTGACTTGGACAACAGACACCCATCTCAAACTCACTCTTGAACTTTTTTAAAAACAGTTTTGTGTTTTGTTAGCTGCCTCACTGGCCATCAGCCCAGTGCTTAATCCACTATGCACCCGGCCTCCATACTATTTCATCATATGGATTTACCATGATTTCACAAGTTATATATTAATGGACAGTCAGTGTTTCCATTTTACACTACTGAAACGGAGCTGGCACTGTCCCACTTCGATGATTCTGGGAGGCCAGTTTTCTTCTTACATCAGACCCCAGGTCAGAAAGGAAGAGACCTGGCTCATGCAGGCAGGATCTGACTCCTAGCACACAGCCGGGCCGGGGTACAGAGGGAAGAAAATGAATGAGCAGAGGAGGAGACGGGTAATTCAGGATTTCATGATTAATAGCAAGCTCCATTCTCAGTCTTCAAAACAAAACAACTCGGAAAGCTACACCATTAAGAATGGCCAGGTCTTACCCACCCTCTACCAGTAAGTGAGGTGCGACTCACAGTGATCCCACAGGGCAGAGCAGAAACTGCCTTCACAGGCTTTCCAAGACAGTACTCTTTGGAAGGAGGCTGACTCATTGATCTCCCTTGGAGCTGCGGGCGAGTCTGAACCACCGACCTTTTGGTTATCAGACCAATGCATAGCTTACAGTGCCACCAGGGCCCCTTGTCTTACCTACAGAAGGCTGGAATTGGGACGGAGCTGGTAGTGAAATGTTTGGTACTGAAAGTGTGAAAACTTCTGCTGGGGACTGAACAGAGGGGGTGTCTTCTGCTGGTGGGGTGAAATCAATCTCATCATCAAAGTTATCTTCAAATTCCTAGAATAAGAACAAGAGTGTCATCTCCAACAGAAGTCAGTGTGAGAGCAAACA